TACAATCAGAATGTGATGATGGTAGCACAGCAAGCTTGAGCAGCTGCTTCCATTAAATTTCACATTTTCAGTATGGTAGAAGTATGAGTTTTGCTAATGTAGCTTTAAGAATTTGGGAATTTATTTGTCAGATGCAAGAAGTCAGAAGCCAGGATAGAATTCAAAAGTATTTCAAGCTTATTTCATGCTACCTATACACAAGTTAACATTTAACTTTATAAACAAGGTGCAAAATAAATGTCTATCCCTGCACAACTCTTCACTCCTAAAATTGTGAGAATGAGACAAGGAAGTTGCACAATTTTAATCTGGGAACACCTATAATCTCTGAATTAACATATTAGGCCACCAAACATTAGCTAATATCTGTTCTTTAAGATAAAGTAATGGCGAAATCATAATTACTATTTTTCATTTCTCATATCATTATAAGACATGTACCAGTTCTTTGAACTCTCTATTGACACGCCCCACTGTTAGGTGCCTTTGACAGCTTGTCCCAAATTTGGAATTATTGGATAAATTTAAAATGTACTTTCCTCTCTGAAAAAAATATTGTATCGGTCAAGGGCATTGTTGGAGACTGTCTGACTCCAAATCTTGATATTACTATTTGATTGTTTATTACCTAATCCTTACAGACTGATTGTTAGTTGGATGTTGTGTATCTGTCTGTCTTGTTTGTTTATAGCTTCAAACAAATCAACCTTGCCGTCACTCTTTGGATTAGATCAGTGTTTCCCAAACTTGACAATTTTAAGGCATGAGGACTTCAACTCCCAGAATTCCACAGCCAGCGTTCTGGGAGTTGAAGTCCTCATGCCTTAAAATTGTCAAGTTTGGGAAACACTGGATTAGATAGATATACTTTATTAAAGTCAGCAACCAATACAGTATAGAAAAAAAGAAAAAAACCAAAATGTAATAAATAGACATATATTAACCCTAATCACTCTGTAAATCATGTATATTAGGTAAGCACCTAAATTTAATGTAATTTAAAAATTGTAGACACAGAATCTAAGCAATCTATAAACAACTTGACCTTGCCAATTTAAGGACTAATTTTACAGTTTTTCATTTAGAAAATCACATAGTGAGGTAAGAGATGGAAATTTAACTGAAGCTGAAGCATCCTTGAAATACCTGAGGAACTTATTTGCATGTGCTCATTTGGCAGTTGAACTCTACAAGGACATTATACATTTCCCATTTTCTCTCATCAAAAATAATAATAATGAAACTTTCTGTTTCTTTTCCTGCCAGCAGGTAGTATGTTATTTTTCTCTTTGTACTAAACAGTTATAAATCATATAACTGTTATAAATCATTTTGTTAAAGTAGTCCATGAAAAAAGATAAATCAATTTAAATCTTGTCAGAAATCAAATTGTGACAGAAATCGAGAATTTGTTTTTCAGTATTTACTTTATGTAAGTTAGAAGGAACTGTTATCTGCCTATCATAATAACTATGCATGATTCTATAAATATGCTAGTTCAGTGATGGCAAACCTTTTAGAGACCAAGTGCCCAAACTGCAATCCAAAACCCACTTATGCATCGTCGGGTGGCGGGTGGATGTGGCCCATTGGCTGGGTGTGGCTGCAATAGTAACACTCGATTGGGTGGGACTAAAAAGTTCAATCAATCAATTCCAACTTTGCAAGATCTTTTCCCATGAGAAGTTGAAATTGACTGATTGAACCTTTTTTTTTTCACACGGCAGTGAAGGCCTAAAGTGAAAAGATTTTATAAAACCCAGCTAAATGCCTAGCACTGGGGTGACGGCGCACGTGCCCACAGAGAGGGCTCTGAGTGCCGCCTCTGGCACCCGTGCCATAGGTTCGCCACCACTGTGCTAGTTTATTTTGTCTGAAGGATTAGCAGTACTTTACTAAAAAGCTCAAAACTAGAAAACTAGAAATACTTCAGAAATATCAGTCCAGAAGTCCTCAATATTTTCAAATTTTGAAAACAAACAAGAACAAAAAATTTTTTTTTGAAAGAACAGCCAGAGACATTAAAGAATAGTTAATTTATTACAAATTATCTCAAAAAAGTAGCCCCAGTTGACAAGTGATAGAATAATCAACCTTGACATATCTTGTATCAAATATGTGTTTGTGGTATTCATTTTGAAACCCATTGCATCATGAGAACTATTTAATACTGTAATTTAATGCTGTGTTTGAAGAGAGAAAGAGCCAACTGCCTGAACAGGTGTGTTGGGTAAGGCAGTGCCCACATAAACATAGGCGTAAACGGCTTGACAAAGCTATTAATTGGGTTAAAGTGGTAAAGGATCTTTTTCTTTAGAAATGAGGCATCTGAAATGCTTGTTTGGTGACTTAAAAGAGTACAGCAAATGACTTCATGTCTCTTTCACACCCTCTTTGCAATTTTACTTTCTCTAAACAGGTTTTTGGCGAAACCCTAAATGAGTCAGACAAGTTTTTCAGCTACTGGTTATAAGCAAGAAAATATTTTCTGCCTTCAAAAGGAATAGTTTTTGCTTTTTTGAGGGTTGGAGGTTTTTAAAAGCAAAATAAATATATTAAAACTCTTGTGATATTTATGCTGTAATTTTGCTGTATTAAGAGAGCTGTATTAAGAGAAAAGAAGTGAGAAATGTTGGTAAAAACTGGCATTTTTACACTTATTTTTAATAGCAGAATCTGGGGTGCTATGAAGTCCCCAAAATGCAGGCAGAGGCCAAAATTGCATCTATCAACAAAAATGAAAGAAACCCCCCTCCAGCATATTGTGAAGAATGGTTTGCCTCTGGAAAATCAAAAAGGAAATGTGGGCATCACATTAAAGCCAAGTATGGGGGTGCACAAAAGATGATGTCATGGTTCCAATAGATAAAGCCAAATATATCAGAATTCTGAGGCTAGAGGTTTGCTCAAAGAACATATTTATTAGATAGAAAGTATCAGCATGGTCAAAAGTGAAACCAAGTTTAAAATTCCCTCCAAAGAGTTACATTATTACAAAGTCAAATTTCCCACCCCAGTGCTATGCAATCAGTTACGCTCCTCAATAAAATAGTTCAGTGAGCTTTCTGATATCCTGCCCAACCCCCTAGCATAACCAATAGAATGACCTTGGCTCCCATGGGACACAGAGTTGTTTAGACTAGCAGAAATCCTCTGCACCCCCTCCCAATCACGTGGCAACTTAGAACGAGCAAGATGCTACATATGCTACATGTCCTTCTCTATCAGGGTCCTATATCCTTATGTCCTAGGAATGCTTCACTTTGTGAACCTGAGAATAGTCAATTTTTGTAAGTATCTCATACTGCACTTTTTTGGAGATCAGAGTTATAATAAGTTAGGCTAACATATAGATACCTTAGTGTATTGACATTCCCTTGCAATGCTACCCCAAAAGTATGGCTTTTATATTCCTGCTCCTTTTAATTATTACTTGTCTTGCCTTTACATTTTAAATATGATGGTAATAGCTCCATGCTAGCAAAGACTCTGCCTCCTGCAGGTTTCCCATTAATATGATGCACTGTTTTCTGCAACTCTTAAGCAAAGACTCCAACCCAATAATACCAACCAATCATAAAATATTGATATAGCTACTGCTCTATCAGTTAACTTCTTGGAATAATCCAGTGTTTACTAATTGACAAGAAAAATGTCCACACATGAGTTGCATTGCTCAAAGAAATAATTTGCTTGATTGTGCTGCCCTTTGGATTTCTTGTGGTGATAGAGAATATAATATTGTGCTATTGCCAAAGTACATTTCAAGTACTTTTTAGAAAATATGGAATGAAATGTGAATGTGCTTGCTGCTAGGAGAAGAAAAGGGGGGAAGAATTGTCTATGGCCTGGATCCTTATTTTAAGAAGGTTCAAGAAACAAATATGCACTCGCTAGCATTAATGATATTACCCAGTCAGACAGTGAACTATCTGCAAGCAAACAATGAAGCTCAGAGAGCACCAAGGACATCAAAACCAAATATTTTCTGCATCTCTTCCACTATATTCCAGTTTTACTTACAAGAACTACCTGACCTTCAAGAAAGCTTTTTGGCAGGCAGAAAAGAAGTGGCATTGGCAGTAACTTATGACATTGGAGGTGATAAGAATTTGTACACTCTCCCCATGTCATCCAGATATGAAAAAAATCTAGGTAAAGTGTTATTAGAATTAGCTTTCCTTTTTAAAAACAAGGAGATGTGAGTGAGGTGACACTCGGCCAAGTGTCAATGTACATTGTATCTGTTCCTTTGTAGATCAGAATTCAGCAGCCTATGGGAGGCCGTGCTTTTAATTTTAATTCTTTGGCAGTTTAGGACAGTGAAAAATACTTTATAGATGCCTATTAGAGGTACATATTTTAAAACTGGACAAATATTTGAGTTAATTAAATGTGATGTTTTAAATGAAGTTTTTTTTACTGGTAGGACTTCTCTATATGTAGCCTGCTGTACAAATGATATCCTGAACTAACACAAATCAGATTCATATTACACAGTTCTGGTTAATTCAGAAAACATTTGTGAGATCTAGTTTCACCTAGATATTCTTCAGATAATAATATCTTTAATTAAGATCAGAATGAAATCAAAAACAAAAAACAAAAACCTTTCATTCAATCGGTCTTGGCAGTGGTTTGGTAAAGAACGGAACTGATCTAAATTATTTCTGTACTAAAATATAGATAAAAATATATAGCACGTGGCTAAATCAGTGGTTCTCAACCTGTGGGTCGGGACCCCATTTGGGGTCGAACGACCATTTCACGGGGGTCGCCAAACAACGCAGTCTGCCATTTTTCCCCCCCTTTTCCTTAGCTGTGCTACTCCCTTTTATTCTATTGGCTTTTGAAAGCCAATAGAATAGACTCTCTTGAATAGAGTCTAATTCTATTGGCCTTCAAAAGCCAATAGGAATTGTCCAGGCTGTCTCTGCCCTGCTGAGCCCGCCAAAAGTCCCATTCTGCAAACGGTGCTGCACCAGTTGTGTAGTCCTCGACTTACAACCGGTTGAGTAGTCCTCGACTTACGACCGGTTGGGGGGTCGCGGCATTAAAAAGGTTGAGAACCAATGGGCTAAATCTTGATTAAATTTATATTTTGCAAATATTAGCATATGCACTATTGAAAGCGTACCTTTGAAATACTAGAAAAACCAAGCCAAAATGCTTTGGTAAGTGAAAGAAAGATCCCTAATGGCATGTCCTTCTCTTGCTTATTAACATATTCCAAAAGGAATTTTGTCTGCCCATGTTCCCCATTCATGTTTCTATCATTTTTGGAAAACATATATAAATGAGATTTGTTTGTCTGTTAATCCTCTTAATCCTAATCTGACAGTACCCAATTCATTATCACTCTAGGGCACTTTTATTTCATGTGCTGAAAAGCTCAAGGAAAGTTTATTCATGGCACTTCATAAAAGTTTCAGTGGCACCAAATGCTATAAGCTTGTGCTGCTATTTCCAGGCCATTTTCTAAAAGAAACAGTTGAAGGACAATTAAAATTTTAATTATATCTGAAATATCCATTTTAAAAATTAGAAGATTCTTAGTCTATTTCATCCATTTCATTACCAATAGTGACTCATCGCAAATCTCCAAGGTTTCAGGAAGGGCTTTTTCAGCTCTACCTCTGGAGCTTGTAATCTAAGACTAATAACAACATTAACGTAATTATAAAGCTAAGAATTGCCATCAAAGTCCACCCTAACCATTTTGCATCATTAGCCTATCCCTTTGGCTATCAAAGCTTCCTTCCAGATTGCCCTTCCATATTCTAGTCTATGTCATATTGTAATCATGCAGCTATATTCATGATATAGTCCAGTTTATGGAGTAATAAACTAATTTACAATATAATATACAATCTCCATGTATTCACAGGAATATTCCAGAAATAAGAGTGAAAGTATTAATGCAATTTGGAATGTGTTGTACTTGCCAGAGACAAAGGTCTCAATAGCTAAACATATCCATCATAAAAGTGATTAAAAATAAATTTTTGAAGGAAAAATAACATCAGTAGGAAGAATGTGCATTATGTTCAAGAATGAGATAATCATTGTACCGGTGGAATATATAATGGGTATATAGATCTAACCCAATATTTTTTTTAAATGTACAAAGTGGCAGTCCTAAATGCTATTGCAAATTCAGGCCAGGCTACAATGCTGAAATGGAGAGAGCTGTCTAGATGTACAAGCCTTTCCATTAACTATAGTCCTTTCAAAGCTCTTCTTTTCTTAATTTCCTCATGACTTTGTTGAAAAATCCAAGTTAATTAACTGCTCTCCTTATGCACTATCTGAAACTTTTCCAGTAGCCTGTTTATCCTCAACATTTCTCATAGGTGCTTAGTATTCCCTTCCATGGAAGCAATTAGTAGCAAAGCATCTGGACCCTTTTCAGATGAACTAGTCATCATTAATACATTGATTAGATATTGTCTCAAACAATAAGAAAGGTGCTGTACGTTTGGAACAGTACTAAAGATGCACATTTCATGGATAAACTAGAACACAGTTTTACCTGAAGCTGAACAAAATTCAAAAATGTATAAAATTATAATCCAGCATTCCTTAGACATGGCCACCCAAATAAATTAATGCAATTAAATATATCTGTTATTATTTGGCTGTGCTCACAAACCCAGTTAAATATACACATTGGCTTTTCTATTCTTACAGTAGATTGTGTCATGTTTGTCTTTTGTGTTTTTTGGAAGGACAAAAAACTGAAGCTGAAATACTAATACTTTGGCCGCTTAATGAGAAGAGAGCACTCATTGGAAAAAACTGATTTTGAGAAAGGTTGAAAGCAAAAGAAGAAAGGAATGGCAGAGGATGACGTGGTTAGGTAGTGTCATTGATGCAATGAACATGAATTTGGGAAACTGGGAGACAGTGCAGGACAAGAAGGCTAAGGTCCAGGGGGTCACAAAGAGTCAGATATGACTTAGTGATTGGATAATAACAACAATCATTTTACTGAGTAAGCTTCATAAAGCATAAAGGACATGTATTATACTTGGCTGTATAACCAAGAATTTTGGGTAGCCTTCTCCAACTGCTACCATCCAGATATGTTAATCTTCAGTTTTATAAAATGCTGTTCAGGATTTGGCATTATGGGAAGCTGAAATCCCAAACACTTAGAAAGTATTAGATGAAGATGTTTCTGTTGAAGCATGGATTGTGAATTATGTCATAGTGGAGATTAAACAATTGAGTATAGTTTCTAGTGGAATGCCCATATTCGTTAGTCAAGTATGCAACTGTAACAGAGGAAGAGGGACTCTGTAAAATTAGCTCAATTTATTTCTTCAGAATAATCTGCTTTCTATGTGATCCAGATTTTCTCACTTTTCTTCCTTCATAAAGAGGTTTGTTTCCTGAGAGATAATGACTGGATACTGTTTAACTTTCTTTAAAGTTTCCCCATTCTGCATCAAGTTACCTTTAAAGAAAATTAAACAGTATGTCAGTGAAAATCCAGCATGGGGGGGGGGAAACCCCGTTTTTTTGAGATGCCAGACTAGCGTGCATTCATGTGCTTCCAATCCCCTTGCTTGCTGCAAAGTCAGATTGGAGTCCTCAGGCTGCTGCTGCCAGTCCATTTCGAGTTGGTCCAAAAGTGAAGGGAATGGTTCCCACCCCACCGGATCGCTGCGGGGCTTCGTTTCCAAAAACCCTCTGCACAGGCTTTGGACAAATTTCAAGACTGAAAAAGAAGCAACCGGAGTGAACAGCTGTTCAAAGGAGGAGGAAGAAGGAGAAAGTGGGAGAAGTCACTACCGAACAGGTGAGGCGTGACAGGTGTCTGGGCATGGTAGGCCTGGCTGCAGGGGCCCTTTGGCCTGGTAAGTGGTTGCGGGGTGCATGGGGGCAGCTCTCTCTTCCCCCATCTGTCTCGTGGCAGTACCTCCCACCTACCCACCCTGCAGAGAATCAGTTGTTAAATTATTTGAATCCCACCACTGGTTGTAGGCCTTTTCTGTATCAGATAGAAGCAGGGCTGCTAAGGACGAGGTGATACTAAATTAAATGCCTCCCTTAAATATAATGTGCTCCAACCTTTCTTCCCATCCCTAGTTCCTCCCTGCATTCTTCCTTTCTCCTCAATTTCACCCCAGTTCCTTCTTTCTTTTCCAACCCACTTATGTCGTACCACGTAACAACATAGCACCTCTGTTTTCTAAATATATTAAGAAGCGAATTTCAGACTCTGATCTGTGGAGACTAGATCTGTTCCAATTATCCCAACATTAATGGCACCATTAGACACCATTATAAAATCCATTTGCCATTGGAAGAGGTACATTTATCCCTTCCATAACTAGGGGCTCCACATTAAGAACGCCATCAGGCTTGGAAATACTTCAATATTTTATTGCTATTAAGAATTTACTATTATCTGATAACTTTTAGCCAGTTAGGTGATAACACCTATGAATTTTGATTGACTTATGATTATGCTTATGATTATAGACTGGACTGAAAAGACAAAGCCACCTCAGAAGAAGTCAGCAACAAACTCATGTTGCTATGAAAACCACATGTATGCCACCAGAGTCAAGTCTGATTTAAAGATGTTACCTTTAGAGGGAATTTCAACCTTTTACGCTGTAATCTATAGGACATCTTAAAATGGGTTATGTTAGAACATTTATGATTTACTCAGTTTTTTCTATAGTATTTTTGAATAAAGTGGACAAGTATCCCAGATGGAGAGACAAATCCATCTTAAAAGTATTATAATTCCTTTCTGCTATAATATTAATCAAACATAAACTAGATATAATTTTTATAACCATATGTTTCAGAATGGGAAAAATTTGTGAATGAATATCTAAATTTGGGCATCCCAAATCTCATCAGGAGAATTTTGCTGTGGACAATATAAAATTAAGAAGATGGGATGATGAAAAGAGCTATGTAGTCTCATGGCTGTTCAAATTTAGAATTTTAGCTCAGTTGTAAAATCTGATAAAATCTATCTTCTGCCATAAATTTATACCATGGTCTGAAACATATCCATTTTATTCAATTTCTAGCCATCTGCAGTGTGAAACTAATAACTGATGCATTTTATTAAGTTATGGAAATAAATATTAAAGGCCAGTTGTTTGCTTTCAAAATGTTTCCAAAGATTTGCTAGTTGAGTTGTGCTGGGTTTAAATTTACTCCTAATAATGCTAACAAGCTTAAAAACTACAAATATCAAAGTGGGAGGAGAAAATAGAAAAATAGAAATGAACTGATAATCCAGGAATCATTAGATGGCTGTCCAATCCTTCCACACTGCCTATATGTGAGACATTGGGTTTCTACACAAAGTATTTTGAATAATGGCAAAGCTCATGAGTTGAGAAACATTTTCCCATTTTCAAGATCTTGGGAAAGAAAGAAAAGAAAGAAAGAGAAAAAGGAAGGAAGGAAGGAAGGAAGGAAGTCTCGTAGCAGATGACTGCAAAATGAGTAAACTGGGTGACCAGTTGTGAAGGCAAACAAAATTCAGGAATGCATCACTAGAGGATCACCAGCAGGAAAAATGATGTCCTAATTCCGCTGTATAGGACTTTTTCAGACCTCATTTAGAATATTTTCTCCATTTCTGGAGACATCACTTAGGCAACCTTGGCTCTTTTATGACTCATGGACTTCAACTCCAGAATTCCTGAGCCAGCATAGCTCAGCTTGGAAACCTCCCTTCCCTTCAGCATGGCTGGCTCAGGAATTCTGGGAGTTGAAGTCCACAAGCCATAAAAGAGTCAAAGTTGCCTAGCCCTGGTATAGGTAGTACCTTGCTCAGTAGTAACTGTGAGAGGGATCACGGAGTCCTAGTGGACAATCACTTAAATATGAACCAGCAGTGTGCTGCAGCTGCCAAAAAAGCCAACACAGTGCTAGACTGCATTAACAGAAGATCATGTGAAGTGTTAATACCACTTTACAATGTCTTGGTAAGGCCACACTTGGAATACTGCATCCACTTTTGGTCATCACAATGAAAAAAAGGTGTTGAGACTCTAGAAAGAATGCAGAGAGGAGCAACAAAGATTAGGGGAGTGGAAGCTAAAACATAAAGAATGATTGCTGGAATTGTGTATGTTTAGTTTGGGTATGTCTAGAAAAGAAGGACTAGGAGTGACATGATAGCAGTGTTCCAATATCTCATGGGTTGCCACAAAGAAGAGGGAGTCAAGCTATTCTCCAAAGCACCTGAGGGCAGGACAAGAAGCAATGGATGGAAACTAATCAAGGACAGAAGCAACCTAGAACTAAGGAGAAACTTCCTGATATTTCGAACAATTAACCAGTGGAACAGCCTGCCTCCAGAAATTATGAGTGATCCAACAGAAGTTTTTAAGAAGAGATTGGACAACCATTTGTCTGAAATGGTATAGGGTTTCCTGCCTGAGCAGGGGGTTGGACTAGAAGACCTCCAAGCTCCCTTCCAATTCTGTTATTCTGTTCTATTCTATTTCCTCAAGCTGGCAAGAGGGAAGTTCAACAATAATGTTAGAAAGTATTACTTCACAGTGGAAACTTGGAAATAACTTTCAATGGAACTAGTGGGTCAGTCATCAGTAACTTAGTTTAAACATGTTTGGGATAAACAAATGTCCACTATCGGGGGAAAAAATAAAAATGAAATAATAAAAATAATATTTAAAATTAATAAATAAAAAATTGAAAACAAAAACAAAAATCTCGAAGGGCAGATTCGATAGGCCACTGAGTCTTTTTTGCTATGTTTTTCCATGTTTCTATCAAATCCTAGGCTGCCCTTTTTCCAGAACTTCGCTTTCCCCGCTTCCCGCTTCTCTCTTACGCCGCCTCTTCCCCGCATGGACATTTTAGGAGTGGTCTTCATTATATACTTAGGGGCCGGGAAGGCGGGGGGAGCGTTGCAGCCCAATGCCCGAATGGGGCGGAGCAGTTCAGTTTGTCTGAACTGAGCTCTGGCGTAGAGCGACCCGAGATGAGAAAAGCAGAGGCCCGGCCACGTCAGCACGACCACCTCAGCAACGCTGCTAGGGGATCCGGAGGAGGAGGAGGTGGAGGTGCGGACCGCGCCGGCGGAGTGCCGACTGGAGCCATGGAAATCCCCTCTGGTCTGATATTGGTACGCGGGTGGGGAAGCAGCTGCAAGGGAGACGGGCGCCACGGGGGATGGGGAGGCATCACAACAAATGCCTACGTAAGAACTTAGGTCTCTAAACTTTTGGCACGCGTTTGGCCAGGCAGAAAAAAAAGAGTGCTGGGATACTGGAGGAAAAAAAATCTTCCTAAGGGGGACAGAAACAGAATGAAGTGGTCTTAATAGTGGCCTGATAACCCTTCGGACTACAGTGGAGGGAGGGGTAGCTGAGGAAAACACCAATCCGACTTAAAGCATTATCCAGGGTAAAGGTGCACAGAATTGTGAAGTGACAGGGACCCAAAGGGAGAAATGAATATTGAAAGAATTCATACATATCTGCACTGTTAACTATCTTGGACAAATTCTGATTTGATGTTTATTTGCTTAATATGCTGTTTATTTGCTTATTATGTTGTCAAGATAGAATCCTTGTAATGTAAATTTTGTTACATATTTGCATATACTTAAACAACTTAACAACAATAACTTATATAGGACAGGAAACCTTTCTCCCAGCCTAGTGGCAGCTTTCTATTATGGTATTGTTTTGACTAGAAATGTAGTAGAATCCAAAACATTAGTACAGAAATTAAAGAAAATGATAGGTTATATGATTAGAATTCAGTATGTTAACTATAGACATGTAGAAATACTAGTTGAAATAATGCAAAAGAAATGTTTCAGAAAAGCTTGTTGAACACCAGGGAACTCACTTTCTACCACTCAACCAAAGGTACCACAACCAACCCAAGCGTAAGAAGAATAACACTTCTACACATCAAAAACATCTCAGAAACCACCAACAGATTACATGACATCATTGTACCACACGAATCAACTAAAGCCCTCTAAAGCATCCTAAGTAAGCCAAAGACACCACAGCCCCAGAAGAAAAAAATAAAAGTCATCTACAACATTCAGTGTAATGATTGCAACAGCTACTACATAGAGCAAATAGGCAGAAGACTAGGAGAATGCATCCATGAAACCAACTAGCACAAGACATGATGAAAACCCATTATTCTCACAACATATGGACAGACTTAACCATAATTTTAACTGGGAAATCACGATCATCTTAAACCAACCAAATAAAAAATGCTAGAGAACTCATGGAATCTTCAATAAACACATAGACATAAACAACACCTACATACTATGCCAAAGAAAGAATCAACAAGTCAAAAAAGTAGCAAAAAGCCAATAGCTCATTATCAGCAATCAATACCCAGAAGAGCATAGATTAATAGCAAGACTGACACCAGACCAACAATTAAGAAGTGAACAATACTCCAATTAAGGAACTACCAAACAAACCAACCTCCCCCCCCAAAAAAAACCTCACCACCAAGACCACCTCCACAAACACTGACAGGACAAGCCACTAGAGCAGGGGTCCCCAACCCCCGGTCCATGGACCAGCACCTGTCCGTGGCATGTCTGAAATCAGGCTGTGCAAACAAGCAAAGCCCCATCCGCAGGATGCAGGCAGTACATGAAACCATATCCCCTCCAGTCCGCAGAAAAAACTCTCTCCATGGAACCGGTCCCTGGTGCTCAAAAGGTTGGGGACCTCTGCACTAGAGTATAAACTGAGAGCAAATTCCACTTCCTACCAGCATTGGTGATGTGGGAAATGAAATGTCTGCAAGAAAACAACCATGTTCAGAGAGCACCAAGGACCCCTTATTTCAACCCTGAGATACAAGCATTCTCCTTTATTAGTGCTTCTCTTTCCAATTTATTTGTTTAATTATTTGTTGTCTGAATATTCTGAATCTTGTAATAAAATAAAACCAATTAATGTTGATCCCAGGAACCATCTCTGTACACCATTAAAGCAATTTTCATCTTGGACAGCTTTGGACAGCGACTTTTGGCCAAGGTAGGATACTTCTAACAATTTTGTTTGACATTTTGCTTACTTATTGAAGGTCTGATAAACTTAAGGACAAGGAGAGTTAAGAAGGTGGAGAATATGATTCCCTTTTTTTGGCTTCCACTTCTTCCTTCTCCTACTTTCTCACAACAATTCTCTGTGAGGATTGACGGAGTGACAGAGAATAACCCAGTTTCATCCCACCAGCTTTCATAACTAAGGCAAGATTAGCACATAGAGTCTGATGGTTTCTGATGTCATAACCTCTAGACCAAAGTGGCACAGTTCATTATTTTCCCCTTCTATTTCGATATATCTATATAATATTGTGTTTACAAAAAATACATTTGAGGCATCTGAGTGTCATCTTGGGGCCCCCTGAAATTATCTAAGAGAATTATCCTCTTTCTAAACAATTTTTGTTGCTTGCAGCCAAACATCCTATGATTTCTGTCAATTGTTTCTTACTATAGGAGGAAATTCTTTTTCTCTTACAGTATATGTCAGCTTTGGTCAGTGTCTCCGCACTGTAATATTCTGACAGGGAAAACATTTTCACTCCCAATTCATCACTTATATCTCATTCAATTCATTTCCTCCTCAGTGCTGTTTTTATAAAGCTCCATTAAGCAACCCAGCTGCCTCAGCTGTCTACTTCCTACAATAAAAAGCCCAACTCTCCAAGCAGTTCTTTGAAATGAAAATAATCTATTGGTCACTTTTATTCTGCATTTTCTACTACATAGTTTTGGAGACCAAGGGGGCAGAGTTGCTGCCAGGGTGTTTGCGGATATATTGAAGTTCTTAAATTCTAGCCATCCTATAGAATATGTACATGAATGATTTTACTTTGAAATCAATTTCACGTATTCCAACAGAGATTACAGTTTAAGCCTGGAATCTCCATTATCATTACTGTAATTGTTATTATTGTTAATATCAATCACCCACTATCTTTCATCTAAAGTGATTTTACAATCAAGGATAAAATATAAATAATTAAAATATAAAATAATTATCTAAAGCAATTATTGACTAACTCCCATTGAAAGTACAAGTAAATAAGTCAATTTGATCAGTGATCCTTACTTTTAATAATCATGATAGATTTGATTGCTATATTTATTATGTAGGCAATTGTTTTATAAGAAGTCAAATTATAGATCTTACTCATTGTTCAGTACCCATAATGGTCTATGCCAGTTGTTGCCTGTTATTGGTGCTATTGGCTACATCTGGAGTTTGATAGTCATCAATCAAAATAAAGGTTAAGAACTCCTTGAAATTAAACACAACTGTTGGTGAGTATATGGGCAGGTCAATATACTTTCCTTGGTACCAATAGGGAGAGAGTTTGCTCATGTCTTCCTCTCAGATTTTTTTTTTACTTCCTAGTATAGTCCTCAACTTATTTGTTTAAAGCATTGTTTAACACGATTACAATTTGGGCACTTGATAACCAGTTTGCATTTACAGTTGGTTGTAGCGTCTTGCAGAACTGTGACCATGATTTGTGAATTTTTTTACACCACTTTCTATCAAAAAAAAATGTCTATTGGGGAAGCTAGATTAGCTTAATGTTCATAATAATTTGCTTGCCCGCTGTAAAAATTGTCATAAAATTGGATCTGACCTGATTTAGGGTTAAAATTCTGCTTCCAGTTGCACTTGTAACTTGAGGACTATTTGTAGTTCTTAATTTCCTGATGAACTCCTATCAAGTATTAACCACTACCAACACTGACAAAATCAGCCAAAGTCAATTAGGAGTTGTTAACAACTATAGATTGTTCCAAGCATTATGAATGTTGTCTCTCAGGATGGAAATCCTAATTGATCATGAGTTGTGTCATCCTGGAGCCTATGTGTGTGCAGTGTTGCTCTTCAGGCCAGAATTTAGGTCACAGAGATCAGGACCCTATTAAGGAGAGTTTCAAAACATTTGGCCACTTTATTCGGTAAGTCTCTCTCTCTCTCTCTCTCTCTCTCTCTCTCTCTCTCTCTCTCTCTCTCTCTCTCTCTCTCTCTCTCTCTCCCTCTCTCTCTCCCTCTCTCTCTCTCTCTCCCCTCCCTCCCTCCCTCTCTCTCTCTCTCTCTCTCTCTCTCTCTCTCTCTCTCTCTCTAACACACACACACACACATACCACAATTAAGTTTAGCATTGGAGTGAATCACAGAGATGAAGTTAGAAAAGGAATGAGATGGCAGTTAAAACAAGATTTAAGCCAAGGACAGAAAAAGAACAAATAAGAGAACATTAGGAAAAAAGAACATAGGTGATAAACATTTTGCATTATTAAAAAAAGGCCATAAGAAAGAGTAATTATATATGGGGAAATTCTGTATTTTTAAATTTTATTTTTGCCTGAATGTTTTTGGAAGGATATGGTACCCCATTTTCCATAACCAACACAGCCAATGGTGAGGAATGATGGAAGTTATAGTCAACAACATTTGTTGGGCCAAAGTTCTCTCCAATTGTTTAAGATGTATGATGGTTTGGATAAAGATAACTGCAATTCACAAATCATTTCCCATCCCCTCTGTTGTTTCAACCCTCTTTTAAATCTCTTCTGGCTGTCCACAGTATTACGACAACACATTTTCATCAACGAAAGAACAGAAGAGCTTTGAGAGAAATGTCTTCAACAAAACCCATAAGACAGAGAGTGAGTAATTTCAAAACTCAGCAACTGGACTATCTGGCCTGCTGAACAGAAACCCTTGATTTAGCACTTTTGGTCTCCTTCCTGTGTCACAAAATGTATTTCAAGCAGCCAGGGGTAACAAAGAGCATATAGAGCAGATTTATTCAACACACTTGACTACGCTAAAATGCAGTTTATGATTCAGAGTTTATGAGAAACCCTTAGCCTACAATATGAACCACACTTTCCTGTTAAACCATAATATGGTTCATTTGCGGCCATGGCATGTATGCAATTGTAGCAATTATGTTTTGTTAATCTGAGTTGTACATTAAGCCTGTCTAGCAGAAGCAAAGAGGCAAACAGTGGGTGAAATGGATTTAAAGACCTTTTTCATAAACTTATATGCCCAGGGCATATTTATATACCTTAGAGGAAAAGCCCTCAAGGGCAACATTTGATTATGATCATGAGGGCAAACATATTTTTCACCTAAGCTCAGGATTGGGCAGGAGTCCCCAACCTCCAGGCCATGACCACTGCCCATTCAGAACCAGATGGTGTAAGTGGTAGGTGAGCGCGTGCGTAGTTCCATTTGCATGAATGGTGAGCACTCGCGCTCACGCACATGCTTACCACTCATATGGAATCATCCCCTCCAGGATCCCCTGGGCCGCCAAGCCAGAAAGTTGGGGACCACTGCTTTACAAACATGAACAACATGTCTCTGCTATTTACTGAAACAGCTAATCTTTTTTCAGACTTCTGTGCAAACATGAGAAAAGCAATTGCTTGAAGGAGTTGTTTTATTAAAGTTAACCCAACTCTAAAAGCAGACATTTTTTTCACGCAGGATTGGAAGCTATAAAAAAAGGGACTGTATTAACAAATAGCAGAAAGAAGCTGCAGTCATGGTTGGGCAACTTCCAAAGCACAGCATTCTGAATTATTTTCATAACAGGCACAATTCTACTGCTACCAAATTAACCGTAGGTCTGGTTGCCAGTAACTCAAATTTGCAAATTTGAAAGATTTTATTTTTAAAAAACATATCAATAGTGCCTAGGGTCAATAGAAAGCTTCCTTTCTTGAATTATGCAGATGTTAGATAGTTATAATCAAAATAAGATAGGACAAACCATCAGCCTCTTAGTTTTTGGATATTTTGAACACAATGTTGATATAATTCTCTCTTTCTCTTTTTCTCCTACAGGTGAGATTGCTTTCTTAGAAGGCTTAACTATAGTCTATAAAAGCAGCATTGATCTTTTCTTTTATGTAGTGGGGAGTTCCCATGAAAATGAGGTAATGTGTCCTTTAAAAATAATTTTTAAACCATAGGCAAATAAGCAAAAACTGTGGCGAAAGAGTAGGCAAAATAATATTCTATATTTTGTTTTTATTGCTTCATTTTTAAATTGTAAACAGCCTTTTTCATCTACTAAATTGTTTATCATTTTTTTCTCCTTCTGTTTTTTACGTTTATAAGCTAACCATCTTCCTGGTTTATTTGCATTTTTAAAAAAGGGCAAACACTTTTTAAAAAAGTGTTGCTTTGCCCTTTTAATTTGCTGTGCCAGTTTTTCTGATTCTATTAAATTTATTTTATGTTTTATTATTTCCATTTGTCTTTTCAAAATTTTCTTTTGTGGGTTTATTTGTAGTTCAGGTTCTAATTTTTTAAATTCTTCTCTTAACAACTGACATTGTTGTCTCTTTTTTATTTTTTTCCGCCATGTATGTTATCGCTATGACTTTAAAATATGCTTTGGCTGTATCCCATGTATTTTGTAATGTCATATCTTCTTTTTTATTTTTTTTGAAGAAAAATTCCATTTCCATTTCACAAAATTATCTTTGTTCAGAAAGCTAATATAGTGCTAAGCAAAAGAGCCGTGTGGAAACCACAGTTTGATTTTGCTTCCAATTGATTTCTGAAGAGCACTATTTAGGCAGAAATATATGCTTACAACAGATATTGACTGTTATTGATAAGAGTTTCTTTCCTGAATCCTATTTTTTCCAGTTAATGCTGATGTCAGTTCTTTCCTGTCTCTTTGAATCCCTCAGTCATATGCTGCGGTGAGTTACCTTTGATGCTTCTGTTACAGATTAAGGATCACTTTATGAAGCTCCAAAATTATACACTGGAGAGCAGAAATTATCAGAACTCATTGTGTATGAATACATATGGATAATCCCAGTTGCACATTGCTGTCTAGGGTGACCTGGAACATGGCAAGAAACATTGTCTTTAGAAGGAAAGACTGTGGTTAGTCTATGCATGTAAGCCAAGTTGCAAGCTCTAAAAAAAGCAAATCTCCCAAGAAATGTCTATAATTTCCCTGGGTTTCTTTGGCATTTTAAAAGCTAGTGTGTTTGTTTGTTTGTTTGTTTAAAAGATTTATAAAGCCATTCATCTTAAGCAGTTCTGGGTGGCTTATTGAAAATTATCATTTCTGACCTAAACTTGGCTGTGTTGAATGTTTTCCCTAAAAGAATTCCTTGTATGCAAACATGTCCTCTGAATTATGCTCTCCATTATTGGCCTCCCATTGCATAGAAGTCTACATGGAGAACAATATCTGAGGTTCTTCTTCAGGAACTATAGTAAAAGTACAATAAGACAAGTAGCAATTGGAGAGTTGGTTGCTATTTTTGGCACTGATATCTCAACTTTGAAATATCTCACCTCTCGAGATTTAACTATAAAGTTGATACTAAATGAAGACCTTTATATTTGTTTTCAAAGCCTTTTAACAAGTGAATTTGACTTTTTAAAAAGTCACTCTTTGCTATTTTGAATTCTCTTGGAAGCTATTTCTGGAAGCCAAAAGTTCATTATGGAGAGATGTACTATACATATTTCAGAAGGGATTGAATAGTGTATCACTTGGGTATTGCAATGCAAAAAAAGGTTGCATTCTATCCAAAATACCATATCAAAATCCAGGGAATAGAATTCAGTCTTTGACCTCTACCCTCTAGATCAGTAGTTCTCAACCTGTGGGTCGGGACCCCATTTGGGGTCGAACGACCATTTCACGGGGGTCGCCAAACAACGTAGTCCGCCATTTTTTCCCCCTTTTCCTTAGCTGTGCTACTCCCTTTTATTCTATTGGCTTTTGAAAGCCAATAGAATAGACTCTCTTGAATAGAGTCTAATTCTATTGGCTTTCAAAAGCCAGTAGGAATTGTCCAGGCTGTCTCTCCCCTGCTGAGCCCACCAAAAGTCCCATTCTGCAAACGGTGCTGCACCAGTTGAGTAGTCCTCGACTTACGACCAATTGAGTAGTCCTCGACTTACAACTGGTTGGGGGCCGCGACATTAAAAAGGTTGAGAACCACTGCTCTAGATACTCCAACTGACATTTACTAGGATCAAAGCTCTATTTACTACTGCAATTTCTCAAAATTTAGACCACCTGGTCCAGATCATTGGCAACAAATAAATAGAAAGTAGGTGTTTTTTTAAAAAATATCCCCAACTAAGCAAATGTAGGCTATGTAATTCCCATACTTAATTCCTGAATTAGACAATGATTTATAACCAATATTATCTTTGGAAAGAAGTGCCCATTTCTAGAAACATCTTCTTGTTTTCATAGTTTTTTTTTAAGTCTTGTTTTCCTTTGTGAAGCATCTATATTACCAATCTATATAATTCTAACACATGATTTTTATCCTGTTTTTTCCAGTGAATTCTGGAAATTGTAATTTGACAAGGTGCTGAGAATTCTTTATTTTAAAGATCTTTTGTTCAATTTCAGCCTTTATGAAATTATAATTCCTAGAGATTCTTGGGGGAAAAACGTTAACTCTTAAACCATTGTCAGAGATCATAACATTACAAATCCTGAAGAATATAGAGGGCAAAAAATCATGGAAAGCAGCTGTAGATAATGCATCCTGGAATTAATATTGGTGTCATTTTCTCTTTTATCTAGAAAGAATGTGGAGAAGCGAATTCTGATAGACAACATGGATGGGGTATTCCTTTTAGTGGATGAAATTGTTGATGGAGGGTGAGATTTCTGTGGAAGGGAAAACACTATATGCAAAGAATCACAGGGAAAACTACAGTAAAATACATTTCATACTAACACTATCCGGTGTTCTTAAATAGAGTCTTGAATTTAAAGTGTAATATACTACACTATACAATGTACTCAATGTATAGTCCACAGTATTGTACAGTTTAAATACAATATTATTCAAAATCTCTTCCCACTATAAAATACATTTGGCAAGTCTTGGAAAACTAGCTAATCATATTACTGTCAAATTTTAATCAGAATATAAAAATAATTGCCATGATTCATAAACTGCTCAGAATCACCTCGAACCATGAGATAAGAGCATATCAAATAAATAAATAAATAAATCATACTGATTTAAAGTACTTGAGAGATAATCAAAGGAGTATGTATATCATATTAAGAAAGCCAGTTGAATAGTAAAAATAAGACATTTGTCTTTATTTACTTCTGAAATATGCTTGCCCCTGCTTTCTTGAGACAGACATAGAGTGATTATCTAGATCTTTAATCAGAAGTAAATCTCTCTGAGTTCAGCAGTGTTTATTCCAGGTAAAAGTACCGTGTTTCCCCCAAAATAAGACCTACCCAGAAAATAAGCGCTAGCCTAATTTTTTAAGGTGTACTTAATATAAGGCCTACCCCCAAAATACGCCCAGGGGGATGGGGGTGGCCAACACAGGAGGTGGCGAGAGCACGGGGTCAATGGTGTCCGGCAACAGCCCCAGCCCACGCAGCACAAGTAAGTCCAAGTGCGGAGACAGAGGCGGAAAGGAGGCAAGCGATCCCGAAGCACTGCCCACTCTGTCCCACCGTTTCTTGGCTTGTCCGCAGCCGCACTGGAGTATCTGCCTCTCCCCGCCTCTGCCTCTTCACTTGGACTTACCTGCAATGCATCGGGGCTGGCAGGCTGCAGCTGCTGCCAGACACGGTTGACCCCCCCCACACATGCTCACAGCCTTTTGTGTGTGCGCTGGGGTGGGGCACCCGGTTGGGTTGATCATTCTGATACCGTGTTTCCCATATATATATATATTTTCAAGTTATACTAGTCTTCCATTAACTCTTTGTCAGCCACAAAATTTTGAATTTACAGTATATGCTGACAAGGGCTGAAGGCCCATAGTAGGATGGGAGATGTTGGTGATGGGCAGAGCTGTAGCTAGTAAGATCAAGACCAGGCTAGAAGCAGATGTGGTAAACCTTTTTCAATATTTCCATTTCAATTGTGTTGGTGCTTCTGCAAAAGGGGACATTTCAAATGGAATGTAAAAGAAGTTACATGCAATTAGATTGAAGGCTGAATGTAGCTTATGGATGAGAACTGATTACCCTGGGATATAAATTGCTGAGACTGAGATTTATAAGTAAAGGAAAATTCACTTCAGTAGGAGACATGACTGCTGAACTGAAATCAGAAAAGAAACAGGGAGAAATAAAAATAACTAAATACCAAGGAATATTTCATACAGGAAGGCAGTGACTATGCTCACACTTCTGCAGAAGAGGTAGAGAGACAGAATAAAATTTATAATAAAAATTTAAACCACAAAATAAATATCTTAAATATCCTACCCAGGAAATGTCATAACAGACATCAACATTGACTAATTGGTTCTTATGGCATTTTAACACTAAGAACCTTCACAAAATATTGCATTTGAAGAAAATGTTGCTTCAGTGGAACAATTTCTCTTTCTATGCAAGATGATCACTGTTAATGAATAAAGTATAAACATGTCAGGTAGTCTGGAAACTCTTACTACAATTCCCAGGATTTTCTAGCATCATTAATAAGACTGAAAATTCTTCTTCCTAAGATATTTAATTTTCCTAAGATATTTAACTTCTTTCTTTTTTTAAAATTCTAGTGTGATCATGGAAAGTGATGCCCAACAAGTCATCCAGAAGCTGAATTTTAGAGTGAGTCTACTGCTCTTTTCTAATTTTCTTTTGTATTTCTTACTCTTTGGTGATTCTTGCATCATCCTTGCTTTTATTCCAACTTACTTTACTCATAAAACTCTTTTCATCTCAGACAAATCCGGAGCCTGCAGCTTATGGCTTCATTCTCTTTGATTATATCACCAGTAATTCGGATCACAGTGAAATTATATCGGAAAGATTGTACAAATATTGAAACATCTCCCAAAATGGGAAGCAGAAGTAAGACATCAGTTCCCTTTAAGCATGTTAAGTGTGGCATGTTGAATGGCTGGGCTGAAATATGTACCATGGATCTCATTTATGTTTGTTCAGAGATATAGCCCTTCCCAAGCCCAAAATATAAAATAACTGCTCAGCTGGTTACTATAAGTGATTAATATTATTGCTTTGAAAGAAAAGCGTTGGTCTTTTTGATCATTCCACACATTACCATACATATTAAATGGGATCTTTTCTCTGTGTGATTTTAAATGCACCATCACTGTCCACCTAACTGTCTGTATAAATGCAAAATAGAGGAAGGATCACCTGCTGTCCCTCTTTTATCTCTTTTTCGCAATGGTATATATATAAGGGTTAAAAACTAGCTTAGTATATGAGTAAAATAAATTCTCCACAATCTTTTAAGTTTTGATTTGATGTTAATTTGATCAACAGACTCCCATTCCTTTGAGAATTTATTTTCCTCACAAATAGCCCTGTCATCCATAGAGACTAAATATGTACTGTAGAGCAAGCATGCAGAGAACTTAAAAAGCCACACAAACTGTTCCTAAATTTTAAGAAAAAAGAACTAATCCCAACCACATTACCTAAGGGCAACATAGGAGGTATAAGAATTGCAGACAAAGCAGAAACTGTCTATAAAAAGGTTAAAATTGGAATGCCAAAAGCAGCTTCCCTTGGTCTGTCCACGCTAATTACTTCCCATATTGTTTCCAGTGGCTCTGAAAAAATTTGGTGCTTTTTGTTGTAGTTAATTTCATAGATCATGTACACTCTTCCTTTTGTTCATATCTCTCCTTGCTTTTGCCTGCTTTTTGTCCCATTTTGCCAGTTAATTCTTGCTGATGCTTGCTGATAATAAATACCCATCAACCTACATTTTTGCTGGCTAAACTGAGTTGTGTAAGTGTTCATACTGCTCTGAATATAAAGATTGACTGGGAATGTGTTAGATGTAAACTAACTACCCACAGTAGGTTTCCAACTTATACGCCCTGGTGTAATTCCACTCTGTAAAAACTGCTGGTTGCTAACATTTTCTTGTTATTTAAGAGAATTTGAAACATGTCTAGCAAATATTTTTAAAATATGTTGATCTTGGGGAGATCCCAGAGCAAGCCTCAGAGTTGTTCTGGGATCAAGTACAGATTAGGTGAATAATAATAATAATAATAATAATAATAATAATAATAATAATTATTATTATTATTATTATCAATCATCGCACAGTCAGCCAGATGTTCAGACTGGATTTGGCATTTTGTCTACCTATCGAGTCCTTACCCAGGACCTGGGATAGGCAGAAGTAGATGTTTGATGGTATTACAGGTATCGTCGCAGGATGGAAGCAGTTCCTAATAAGGCCGCCTTTTGCAATTGACTAATAGCAAATTTGTCAATGCCAATGGTGTTCAAGTGGTGCTCCAGTTGTTTTGGGATTGCGCCCAAGGAGCCTATGACTATTGGTACTACCCTTGCTTGCTTTTGCCACAGTCTTTCTATTTCTATTTGTAGGTCTTTGTATTTTGTTATCTTCTCCAGTTCTTTCTCTTCTATTCTGCTATCTCCAGGCACTGCCACGTCCACTATCCAGACTTTTTTGTCTTTCTTATCGACAATTGTTAAGTCTGGGGTGTTATGTTGCAGGTGCTTGTCTGTTTGAATTCTGAAGTCCCAGAGCAGTTTAATTTTATCATTTTCTATGACTTTCTCTATTTTATGATCCCACCAGTTTTTGCTTACAGGCAAATGATATTTTTTGCAGATCTTCCAATGCACCATTGTTGCTACTTTGTCATGCCGCTGCTTGTAATCAGTTTGTGCAATCTTCTTGCAACAGCTTACCAAGTGGTCCACTGTTTCTTCAGCTTCTTTGCATAGGCGGCACTTACTGTCTGTTGCTGTCTTCTCAATTTTGACTTTGTATGCATTTGTCCTTAAAGCTTGGTCTTGTGCAGCCAGAATTAATCCTTCGGTTTCTTTCTTCAATTTTCCTGCTCTTAGCCATTGCCAGGTTTTATTATTATCTGCTTTCCCAGCTATTTTTTTAATGTATTGGCCATGTAGTGCTTTGTCTTCCCATGCCTCTATTTTGTTCTTCATTTGGTCTTTCTTGTAGGCCAGTTTGGTCTCTCCAGTAGTTAGTAAGCCTTCCTGATATACTAATTTCAGTGCATCTTCATCATTGTTCTTCAGATATTCTTCCAAAGCCATTTTTTCTTCTTCAACCATCTGATGTACTTGTAGCATTCCACGCCCACCTATTTGCCTTGGTAGATAAAGTCTATCAATGTCACTGCGTGGATGAAGGGCATGATTCATTGTCATTATTTTTCTGGTCTGCCTATCCATTGCTTTTAGTTCTGCTTGAGTCCAGTCCACTATTCCAGCTGTGTACCTAATGACTGGGATTGCCCAGGTGTTGATTGCCTTTATGGTATTTCCTCCATTGAGTTTGGACTTTAAGATCTTCTTCACTCTCTTGATGTATTCACCTCTAATCTTTTTCTTGACTTCAGTGTGCTTGATGTTGTCAGCTTGAAGGATACCCAAGTATTTGTAGTACTCTTCCTCATCCAGACTCTTAATGTTATTTTCGTGGGGCATCTTGATTCCTTCAGTTTTCACTATTTTTCCTTGTTTGATAGTAAGTGTGGCACATTTGTCCAAGCCAAACTCCATTACAATATCTTGGCTATATATACGGACAGTGTTGAGCAGCGATTCTATTTCAGATGGCGTTTTTCCATACAGCTTCAGATCATCCATGTAAAGGAGATGGGATAGTCTAGCAGATGTTTTTGATGTTTGATAACCATGTCCTGAGTTATTCAGTATTGTTGACAGAGGAAACAGTGCAATAACAAATAGTAATGGTGATAATGAATCTCCTTGAAATATTCCTCTCTTGATATTAACCTCTCCCAGCTTTTCACCATTGATCTGCAACTGTGTCTTCCATTGTGCCATCGATCTTTGCACAAATTTTCTGATGTTTCTACTTACTCCTGTTATTTCTAGGCACTTGATTATCCAATCATGTGGCAGAGAGTCAAATGCCTTTTTGTAGTCAATCCATGCCACATTCAGGTTGGTCTTCCTTCTCTTGCAGTTTTCCAAGATCATTTTGTCTATTAGGAGTTGATCTTTTGTTCCTCTGCTATTGGGGCGGTTTCCTTTCTGCTCAGGTGGAAAGAGATTGTTTTCAACTAGATGCTGTTGTACTGCATCAGCTACCACACCAGTTAGTAATTTGAAAGTTGTTGGTAAGCAGGTAATTGGCCTGTAGTTACCTGGTGTTGCCCCTTTTGCTGGATTTTTCATTATTAGGTAGGTTTTCCCAGTTGTTAGCCACTTTTCAATTTCTCCTCCTTGTAGTATATTGTTGAATTGCTTGGCAATGAGTGGGTGTATAACAGTTAGATGTTTCAACCAAAACCCATGCAGTTCATCTTCACCTGGTGCTGACCAATTTTTGATTTTCTTTGCTCTTTTTTCTACCATTTTTGTTGTTATTACTAGTTCTTTCATTTCAACTTCTGTTTTATTTGCATCCACCTCTTTTAACCAAGCTGCATCCTTGTTGTATTTCTTTGGGTTATCCCATATCTGCTTCCAGAACTGCACTGTTTCTTCCTTGTCAGGTACTGACTGATTCCTTGCAGTTTCTCCATTGATGGATTGGTAGAAACGTTTCTGATTGGATTGAAATTGGAGGTTCTGCCTATAGTTTGCAATTCGAGCTTCATATCTACTGATTTTCCTGGCTATAGCTGTTATTTGTTGCTTTATTATTTCCAGTGCTTCCTTGATCTTCCTTGTTTCTAAGTGGTATTTCTTGATTAGGTATTCTTTGGTCTTCTTGTTCTTCAGCTTCTTTTCTTTCATCTGTTCTAGCTTGCTTGCATGTGATCTTAACTTGCTGATCTTATTTTCTAGTCTAACCTTCCATTTTTGTGGTGCACTGTTTGTTTGTTTTTCTTTTTTGTTGATTTTACATCCCAGGTATTCTGTTATAACTGCAGCTGTGCTGTACATTAGTTGGTTTGTTTCTTGCAGTGAATTGGTGCTTATACTTGCTATTGCAGTATTTGCATCTTTTAATGCTTGTGCTAGCTGTTTCTTTGGAACAAGCTTCAATGCAGGCAGCCTTATTCTGTTGTTTTTGTGCTGTTCTAGATGCTCAGTTATTCTTTGTTTCAATTCTTTTATTTCTTTAGTTAGAGGGTTTTGTTCTTCCTGAGGAAGAGGTGCCTGGTTTCCAAATGAGAACAGTTGTATATCTCTACTGGATTCTTTCACTGCCAACTCCCCCTGGTTTGCCTCTACATTCTGAATTACTTCTTGTAAGGCTTTGATTTCTTTGCCCTGGGTAAACCTTTGCAGTTCGTCCAATTCTGTTTCTGTAAATACTTTATTTCGTGTTATAAATCGGCGTTGATCTGCTAGTCTCTGTTCTGTTATTTCTGATTCTGGATGTTGTTCTTTCCAGAATTGGTGCATTCGTTTTAGATATCCTCGCCTTGTTGGACTTGATCTGTAGTAACAGATCATTATTTCTTTGTTTTCCATCACTGTGTACCTGCGACGGGTAAACACCTTTTCTTCCAGTAGTTCTGCAGCTGCTAGCCCTGGTTGCTCAGCCAACAGTCCTGAGTCCTGTAACCCATTTTTCACCAGATATCCAGGAACTCCAATATCTAGTGCGGACCTTGTTAACCCGGGCGACGTCCGAGCCGGTATGGCATTCTGAAATTTACGTCTCACCATATTTTTTATGGGAGAGACACTCTTTGTCTGACTCCTCTGATGAGACCTGTCCAGTATGGTTGAACCTCTGGCATAGCTCTCATCTTCCTCAGAGTACACAAGCCCCACAACCACGTCAAGGTAGTGCCTCACTGGGGGTTATTATTATTATTATTATTATTATTATTATTATTATTATTATTATTATTATTATAATACCCCCAGTGAGGCACTACCTTGACGTG